AAGAAAATACCGTAAATCAAAAAAAGGTTTACTGTTATTTAGTTTGGTTCAAAACCTACAAAATCATTGCTTTTCACTGTAATTTATTTTTTTATTATTTAAGGAGCATTATAAATAGTTATGTTTTTAAAAGAAAAAACTACTATTGTTATAAATAACACATGCAATTGAACTAAACTATGCATACCTATTTAAATATATTTACACATGGCTTGTGTATATCGTATATATACATATATATTATTCATACCTTCGGTGTATAGGACGCAAGCAGATTTTGACATCAAATTTTGTGGTAAAAAATTGCGTATTATACACCGAAAATACGGTAAATAATCTCAATTAAGTACATATACTTCCCAAATGTTCAAAAATAAAAAAAATAATCAATATACGTTCCTTTTAAATTAAAATATTATTTTATTTATACTTTTGTTTCTTTTTATAGTAGAAATGCAATTGATTTATTCTATAATTTCATACTTTTACACTTTTTCTTTTCTGTAAGTCTTGGTAACTGGTTTCACGGTTTCACAATTCCTGCTGGCTTTATACAACCAATTACTTCTGCCCTCTTACTACTATCTAAAAAGCGGCGACAAAAAATGTATAAAATATTTTTCAAAAATAATCTTTTATGTTTTACATTACATTCCCTGAAAGGGAAAATATGATTGTTTTTGAATTTTCTGAAGATACATTCTATAAATGTTTACTAGCACATAGTGGGCTTGTTTCGGGATATCTAACATGGAATTTATGTAAATTTATCCTTAATCTTAAATTATGTGTTTCATCAATATATAATTCACCACAGTTTACACATTTTAAAAGATATATTACTTTCTTAGAAATGTAATTGTTTGCTTGTTTTGAATTTTGCGCAAAGCTCAACAAGGGCTATCTGCGCTAGCCGCCCCTAATTTAGGAGTGTAATGACTAGAGTCATTACCACCCACCACCAACGAATAGTAGAATTGACCGTCACGGCTGAAAGGCCGGGCATGTTTGGTGTGACGGGGATTCGAACCAGCGACCATCAGATTGCGAGTCGAGTGCCTTAACCACCGGACAATACCGGGTTAGAAATGCAATTAAATGAGTTATTAATAAAAAACAATTTCTTTGTTATTGTTTTGGTAGATTTCATATAACCTAAATTATATAAAGCATAGGTCTTTCTGTCACAACTGAAGATACCTTAATTTACACATATTAAAAGATATATTACGTTCTTAGAAATGCAATTAAATGAGTTATTAATAAAAACAATTTCTTTGTTATTGTTTTGGTAGATTTCATATAACCTAAATTATATACAGCACGGGTCTTTCTGTCACAACTGAAGATACCTTTTTTAGAAAAATCTTTTTTATAGGTTTATTCAATAATCTATACAAATTTTTAGGTTACCTTCTTGGTAAAATAATTTTACTATTTTTGAATAATCTTTCAGTTTTTTATCTATTATTTGTTTAATTGTGTATTAACAAATGAAATATCAATATGTATATTTGTGCAATGAGTCACAACAAAAGGTAAAATATTCTCTTTAGGTTCGCTAATCTCCCTGTTTAAATGCTCTTTATCAAAAAAGTTATTCTTAGCAATTTCAAAACCTCTTAATATAACTTTCTCTGGATAGTGACACTGAACTAAAAATTGATCTAGTTCTAATAATCTATTAACTCTCGTTTCTTCATCGGAAACCAAATGATATACTCTACTTGCAAGATTTGCAGGAACATTTAATTTCATTTGTTTGGGATGATTACTAAACAAATCTACATATTGATGAGAATTTGTGGGTTGATACAAATATCAGTTACACTTTCATTTTCTGGTGAAATACTTACCAACACATCTAAAAATG